GTTGGAGCTTCCAGTTTCTGGTCACGTCATGTCTGGTCCCTTGGCCATTTATTTCCCCTTTATTCAAAGCGGTTATTATAAACTAATATGTAAGTGCAATTTTAATTGTTTTTTGTTTTAATAAAATAAATTACTATGCTGTGAGGGTTCCCTCTTCCCCTTTGAATTTGATTGCTAGAGGTGTGACCTACACTTTTCCAAATGGTCAGTCCGCCCCTGTTACTGTCATTGCACCATGCTGCACCTACACATAACCCTGTGTACCTGTGTAGTGCAATAATACAAACAATGTTCCAACTGCCCCTTCTGCACCCAGAGTCATTTCATTAATAGCAGTCACACATTGAACCAACCAAGCCATAGGTTTCTTCCAACCAATTGGTTGGGACAACAGATCCCGTATTACTGTCTAGTCCACCTTTTTATACTATTTCAAATTATGTTGTTTCAGAAGCAGTTACAATGTCTTCCATGGTCATTTTTGAAAGATGGATGAAGCTATAGTCCACTTAGGGAAAATCCTTCTTTTTTAACAAAATGATATACAACCAAATTTAAATGGACACGTCATAGCAACTGTTACACTCTCTTTATTGTGCAGAATAATAAATTACTGCAATAGTACCATTATCTAATAAAATAAAGTGCAGCGCTAAAAAAAACAAAGTATAAAGTTTGATATAAAATTCGATATAAAAAGTTTGATCAGTAAATTCATAAATGCAATGGGTCTGTGAATGTGGTGGACACAACTTTGAGTGATCCGGGAAAATGGCAGAAATGCGCACTCACCGACCGCACATAGGAAATGCGCATGTGTATATCAAATCCTACAGATGTCGTTATCCCCCAGGGAGAGGTGTCATCAACCAATCTGCTGGACTTACAGGGCCTCCTTAGGATGAAGATGAGTCAGCCGGACTAAAGGTTCCTTCCAGGTAAAGGCTTCCCTCCTCTGGATGTAGTATGTAGCTGTGTCTGCTGACCCCTCAATGAGGGGCAAAAAGTGGGAGAGTACCCATAGTGTAGTATATCAAGTATTTTATTGGTAAAAGAAATGTCTTCCATGGTCATTTTTGAAAGATGGATGAAGCTATAGTCCACTTAGGGAAAATCCTTCTTTTTTAACAAAATGATATACAACCAAATTTAAATGGACACATGTCATAGCAACTGTTACACTCTCTTTATTGTGCAGAATAATAAATTACTGCAATAGTACCATTATCTAAATTTAACTGAAATGTACGGCTCCTGTCCTATTTCTTCAAAAAGCTTGTTAATATGCAATCACCTGGTACAACTGCAAAGTTTTTAAAGGTCAGCCATGTTTTATTCATAAAGGGTGGTTTTCTGGAAGGAAAAAGGTTATGGTGTCATGTAATACCATATTCTGATAGAGGTTGTGTTTAAAAATGTATCTTTTAATGGCCACAAGAAATTAGGATAGGGTTTAAAGGATTTGAATAGATTCCAAGCAGACCAACAGAGAAAATAAAGAGGTTTGTAATGGCACACAGATGACAGTACAATGGCAGCCTCCAGTTTTCTTATAAAGCACCTTTTGATCTTATATGATAATAAAATCATTCAATGCAAGTGGACATTTTTACATTTCACAACAAGAGCCATATGCTAGGTAGGATTCAAAAGTGTTTGATTTGGGCAGCATAGGGACTTAGTGATTAGTACTCGGTTCCACCAGGGGCAATATCTCCATGGAATATGTATGTTCTCCCAGTATTTGCAAGGGTTTCCTCCCACACTTTGCAAACATACTGATGACTGCCTTAGTTAGCATGCAGGTGTGTACTTTGATGAACTGGTTTACCCCCATAATAAGTGCATCTGTGTGACTGTGGCATTAAAGTGTTTCTAAAGGCAGACGTTTTTTTTTTACTTTAATGCATTCTATGCATCTATTCTGGGCACTGGTGGGTGGCACTGCTGGGCACAGGTGAGTGGCATTACTAGGCACTGATGGGCACAGGTGGGTGGCAATGCTGGGCACTGATGGGCACAGGTGGGTGGCACTGGTGGGTGGCACTGCTGGGCACAGGTGAGTGGCATTACTAGGCACTGATGGGCACAGGTGGGTGGCAATGCTGGGCACTGATGGGCACAGGTGGGTGGCACTGGTGGGTGGCACTGCTGGGCACAGGTGAGTGGCATTACTGGGCACAGGTGGGTGGCAATGCTGGGCACTGATGGGCACAGGTGGGTGGCACAGGTGGGTGGCATTGCTGCGCACTGTTCATCAGGGAACCGATCATCAGTGCCCTGATCCATCCTCTGACAATTGGCTGTTATTGGTAGTACTTTCCTCAAGCTGTGACAGCGTGAGGAAAGTGCATCCAATAACCATCAACTGCATTTACCCGGTGTTCTGCTGTGTCATTGGACACAGCTGATCACGTGGTAAAAGACCACTGTGATTGGCCTTTTACCATATCACGTGATCATCTGTGTCCATAGGACACAGCGATTACATAGATCGCCAGGAGCGTTCTGGGAGGATTTCATATGATTTCCTTCCAGAACTGGACAACCATGCTGTAGCTTTCATTTGGCTTTAGCGAGGATGGCAAGTGGTTAAGGAGTTGTTTTACTAAAACTGGAGAGTGCAAAATCTGATGCAGCTCTGCCTGGTTGTCAACCAGCTTCTAACTTCAGCTTGTTAAAGTAAGCTTGGACAAGAAAACCTGGAAGCTGATTAGTTTCTTTGCAGAACTGCACCAGAGTTTTCACTCTTCGGTTTTTGTAAATCAAGCCGTAAATGTGAAAGGCAAATGAGGCCTTGAAACTTGTAGCATTTTGTAAGCAGTCTGGCCTCAAGAAAAGTATGATAAAGTAAACATTTTTGCTTGGTGGCTTCCAGCTATCATGTTTTTAGTCTGCTTTTGGACACTTGGTGGCTTCCAGCTATCATGTTTTTAGTCTGCTTTGGACACTTGAAGCAAAAAGGCTTGCAAATTGCTATGGGCAGCAAGAATTATGTGTTTTTAGCAGTTTTTGTACATGGGTCCTTGTCATTTAGTAACAGAGCTTTCTAGTTGGTAAGTTTCCTTTTAACAAATGTACTGTTATGTACTCTGAGGAATTGAAAGAAATAGTGAAATAAAAGGGTTTGATAAAATTATTGAAACACCAGGTAAATGAATTAAATGCTGATAGACCACCTTTGGCATCCAAGACAAGCTGAACTCTTCTGGGAATTGTCAAATATAAGTCTTGGATGGTGTATAATGGAATCTTATACCACTCTTTCATGCAAAAATCATTCCAGTTCTCATAAAGATGCCAGAGACGGAGAATAAGTCAGAACCTTGACCATAGTGACTCTGATATTGAGGTCCGCCGACTGTGGCGACCAAGTGCAAGACTTTGTTTGCATGCTCATCAAACTACAATTTGACAACACCACCCGTGTGAATCAGAGCATTGTCATCTTAATAAATGGCGCGGTCTTCGGGAAACAATGTCTGCGCCATGGGGTGTACATGATCGGCCAAAATTTGTATATAGTTGCTGAAAGTGACTCTACCTTTCAAGATAATGATAGGGCCTGCAGAATACCAAGATATGGCTGCCCATATGATTGCGCCGCTACCATACTTTACTGTTGGTACAAGACAATCCTGGTCATAACCTTGGGATGGTGTTCACCACACGTAAACAAGCAAACACATATGGTGGTTGGGAACAGTGTGAAGTACGATTCATTGGACAATATTACAGTCTTCTATTGATCAATAGTCCATGATTTATAGGTTTGTCACCACTCTCTCCTCTTCTGAGCATTAATATCGGTCACTAGTGGTTTGGCAATTGCAGCTTGCCCGTGAATGTATTGCTTATAAACTTCATCATGCAACACTGTACCCAAATGAAATTTATATAAAATTTTTTCACACAAATGGAGCTTTCTTTGGTGATACTTGGTCACCACTGGGTTTTGAATTATATCTTTCAAATATATAATGTATCCATGTCGCTCTGTGAGGACGTCAGAGTGACGAAATGCGTAGGGCGGAGCCTATTGGATGACGTCGGGACGTTCCCTGTGGCTGTCGGCAAGGTGTATATGGTGAGCGGGGCTCGTCCATTCCTCTTCTCCTGTCGTTCTTATACCAGTGTCAGGTGGACACTTGACTTGTGAGTGATATGAGATTTTAAATAAATGTAAACGGTTTTTACTTACTGCACCATCATGCCTTTCCTTTATTTCTGAGTGGTATTGCCATATACTTGGAGGATGATCGGTATAAAAAGGGTCCTGGCCATATTACAGAGTGGCTGCAGAGTATTGCTCCTGGTATCTGGATGATTTCAAACCACAGAGTATTGCTTCATGATTTGGATTCTCTCATCGCTCCCAGAGCAAATACGCTTGTGCTGATTTATAATTTGATCAGCATTGAGCTCTGGTGAGTTTATTCCATTCATCTGGTGGTGGATTAAGCACGGTGTTATAATACGTTTAAGAAGAAATTTCTTTGGGGTGTTGGACTTTTTACACTAATATTTTATGGATTGTTTCACTGTGGAATTTTGAACTTATGGTGTTTGGACTTTTTTTGCACAGTATATGGATTTTTTTTATATATTTTTAGCGCATTCCGATTTTGATTTTTTTGTTTTACACCAAATTTGGGTTTTTAATTATATTTTTTATTATGATAATGGCAAAAAAGACTGAATATTTTGAATAAAAAAGGTTTTACTTTTTTCTATGAAACATATTCAATAAAAAAAAAAAAAATAATAGCAAATTTCTTCATAAATTTTAGGCCAAAATGTATTCCGCTACATGTTGGTAAAAAAAAAAAAAACTAAACAAACAAAAAAAAAACAATAAGTGTATATTAATTTGTTTGTGTTAAAGTTTTAAGGTCTATAAATAATGATATGTATTGCCAAAGTATTGGGGCACCCCTCCAAGTCATTGGATTTAGGTGTTCCAATCACCTCCATGACTACAGGTGTATAAAATTAAGCACCTAGGCGTGAAGACTGCTTCTACAGACATTTGTGAAAGAATGGGTCGCTTTCAGGAGCTCAGTGAATTCAAGTGTGGTACCATGATAGGTTGTCACCTGTGCAATAAGTCCGTCCATGATATTTCCTTGCTACTAAATATTCCACGGTCAACTGTTAGTTGTGGAAGCAACTGGGACTAACAGCAATTCAGCCACAACGTGGTAGGCCACGTAAAATGACAGAGGGGGTCATGCTGAAGCGCACAGTGCGCAGAAGTCACCAACGGTTTGCAGAGTCAATAGCTAAAGACCTCCAAACTTCATGTGGCCTTCAGATTAGCACAACAACAATGCATAGAAAACTTCATGGAATGGGTTTCCATGGCCAAGCAGCTGCATCTAAGCCTTACATCACCAAGTGCAATGCAAATCGTCGGAAGCAGTGGTGTAAAGCATGCTGCCACTGGACTCTGGAGCAGTGGAGATGTGTTCTCTTGAGTGATGAATCACACTTCTCTGTCTGGCAATCGGATGGCTGTGTCTGGTTTGGTGGTTGCTAGAAAAACGGTACTTGCCTGACTGCATTGTGCCAAGTGTAAAGTTTGGTGGATGGGGGATTATGGTGTGGGGTTGTTTTTCAGGGGTTGTTCTTGCCTCCTTAGTTCCAGTGAAGGGAACTCTTAAGGCGTCAGCATACCAAGACCTTTTGGACAATTTCATGCTCCCAAGTTTGTTGGAAGAGTTTGGGGATGGCTGTCAGGCTCCGCCACCATCATGGCCCCTTCCTGTTCCAACATGACTGTGCACCAGTGCACAAAAGCAAGGTCCATAAAGACATGGATGAGCGAGTTTGGGGTGGAGGAAGTTGACTGTCCTGCACAGAGTCCTGACCTCAACCCCATAGAACATCTTTGGGATGAATTCAGGCAGAGACTGCAAGCCAGGCCTTCTCAACATCAGTGCCTGACCTCACAAATGCGCTTCTGGAAAAATGGTCAAACCTTCCCATAGACACCTCCTAAACCTTGTGGACAGCCTTCCCAGAAGAGTTGAAGCTATTATAGGTGCAAAACTGTGAGCCAACTCAATATTGAACCCTACAGACTAAGACTGGGATGCCTTTAAAGTTCATGGGCGTGTAAAGGAAGGTGTCCCAATATTTTTACAATATAGTGTGTGTGTGTGTATATATATATATATATATATATATATATATATATATACTGACATTTTTATTTAATTTATATTAGTAATGGTGGCGATCACAACTTATAGTTGGACTGTGATTGTGTGGCAGGCAATCTGACACTAACTGACACTTTGTGGGAACTAACTAAATGACACTGACATCTCCAGTGACTAATACAGTGATCATTGCTAATAATATACACTGTCACTGTACTAATGACACTGGCTGGGAAGGAGTTAACACCTCGGGCAATCAAGGGGTTAATTGTGCACTTAACAATGGTTAATTTGTGGAATATGTACTACTTTGTACTACAGATTCTACAAAGTATTTGGTCCCTCTATTCAGAGCCCTGTGTTATTTGTCAACACATGGCTCTGGGCTGTTATTGGACACAGCTGATCAACAGGTCCCAGCCATGAATCATTGGATTTTCTGAGAAATTCCCATTGTGTCAAAGTAGGAGAGCAGGAGGCTGGGGGTGCATGAGCATGCTTGAAATACGGAGACAGGCAGTGATGCACAGGTACGTCCCTGTGCCTGTAGAACCCAAACCCCCCCGCTGCAGTATATGTACTGTGGCGGGTCAGCAAGTTGTTTTAAGGTAGGTTGAAAAGCATACGTAGTGGCTGAATTTTATTTTGTACATAATGAATGTGCTGAGTGTTGTACGTATCTGTAAGACTCTCACTTCTGGCACAGTAATTAACCTCCCTGGTGGTATGATTATTTCAGATTTTTGGTGCTGAAAGCGGTACCATTATTTTGCATGGAAATATGTAGTTTTTTTTATTGTAGGCTGTAATTTTTAGGAATAACTCACTGAAATCTGTCCGAACAAGAGTCTAGTAAACATCCCGGATATGATAAAATTTGAAACACAAAATCATAAATTATAATTGAATTAATAATCATAAAAAATAATAACATAATAATAATACATTTAATTCAATAATATAATCAAACCAAAAACACTGAAATTTGAAATATAGCGCCAAGTTCGCACATCGCTGAGCAAAGTCGCAGAATCGTTTTCAGTGTCTGATGACAAATTTTTCCACGAATCATTATCACTCAATTCTGCAAGTGGTTCTGATTTACTATCGCTGTTCTCTAGCTGATCTAAACCCGCTTTTGACCTAAAGGGACACTTTTTGGACGCCGTGGACTTTTCTAAGTTTCCAGGCAGAAAGAACAATCAAAATGCAGGCAGGGCGCAGGACAAAGCACTCGGGACAAAATGTATGTGAAATGGGTTGAAACAGCAATGTTTTACTATGTAAAATCGTTTTGAAAAAAATGAAATTTTTTTCAAATTTTCAAATTTCCCGTCGCCGCCGGCGCCCGTACGTCCCGCCGTCACAGGGACCGGAACACAGGAGCCGGATGCCGGCATCAGCCGGAGGAGATAGCCGGGGATGCTGCAGGGGACACATCGCGGGAGCGAACGACAAGGTAAGCGCTGCAGGGACTCCCTATGCAGCGCCGCATGGTAAGCCCGAGTGTAGCTCGGGGTTACCGCTTTTGGTACTGACATTTTACCCCGAGCTACACTCAGGAATACTGTTAGGGAGGTTAAAGCATATTATGTGGCTATAAGGACTGTGGCATGCATGTGCCATGTATAGAGTGAGTAAGCTAAGGTGTTACTTTACCATGTCCCTATAAGACCCTTCCACTGGTAACCCAATTTTGCCACAACCACCATTTGGCATGACACCAAAACACCAAGGACAACGCCTGCTTTCCTTAGCCCCTTTTTTTTTTCAACATATTGTCATTTCCAATACTACAGGTGTTCTTTAAGCCTTGCACGCTTACACATGTTAAAACAAAAAAAAAGAAAAATTCTCTTGACATTTCACAAAGGTTCAGCTTGTATCTCTACAGCATTGATGAGAATAGGCTGCTGCTTACACAGCCCAGTTACGGCACCTATACATGAAATCACACACGGACTCACTTCTGAGTTATGAGCCAGAAGCAATTATTCCTAGCAAAGAAAATCTAGTTGGGGCTATGCATATTCTCCCCTATGATTCCAGTTCTTCTTCATCTTATGCCAAACATAGCATTCTGCACAGGCTTTTGGCTTTTCCTCCTCTAAGAAAAAACAATAACCAGATAACACAAGAGAATATCCAGAGAAACCCCATTTCTTATTTCTTCAGCATCACCTAATTGCTGGGGTGTAAAGGAGAGAAGAGCATAAAGAGGACTGTAGAGGAGAAAACAGAAGGGTGATTGCTATTCTGCTAATTCCCAACACATATTACATTTTGAATTATTTATACAAATGTTCATGTGCTTGTTGGATATGAACTTCCATTAATAAAAAAAAACAGAGAGAACATAGTTCATGAAGTAATATCTTACACATGCTCTGTGACAAAGGCCTAAACAAATGCTTTGCAGTGCTGTAGTGTCTTAAGGCTGTTGTGTAAATTCTGTGTAATATCCCTAAGTAAAAGGGAATGCATTCAATATAGTTGTTCCCAGGGGTGGACTGACAACTCATGGGGCCCCGGGAAATAGGGGATCATGGGGTCCCTGTGTCCTTGCCCAATCTCAAAAAAGCCTATGAAAAAGGTACCAGGGCATTTCATGGGGCCCCCTACTGACCCTGGGCCCTCGGGCAGTGCCCGAGTTTCCAAATGGTCAGTCCGCCCCTGGTTGTTCCTAACTAATATATGAAATTCAGTAGCTAGTCAAAGATGATCCTGCGAGGTCCCTGTGATTGGGGAAACTTGCAGTTTAATTATTGGGATTTTAGTGGTGATGGAAGATCGAACATAGCAATGTATACTGATCAGGGGCAGATTGACAACTTATGGGGCCCCCGGGCAATAGGGGATCATGGGGCCCCTGTGTCCTTGCCCAATCTCAAAAAAGCCTATGAAAAAGGTACCAGGGCATCTCATGGGGCCCCCTACTGACTCCGGGCCCTTGGGCAGTGCCCGAATTTCCAAATGGTCAGTCCGCCCCTCCTAACTAATATATGAAATTCAGTAGACAGTCAAAGATGATCCTGCGAGGTCAATGACTGACTGCAATTTTCTTGCCTACTGCCATCATGGTTCATTGAACCCTCTGGTTAATGCACCTACAGCTCATGGTGTTTTAGCCCAATTAATCGCAATACAAGCCAATATGACACTCTGTATGGCTCAAAGTTTGTGAACATCTGACCTTGACACCTACAGTATATGAGCTCACTGGACATCTGTCATGTACTTGTATGAGAAGCTCGAGAAGATGTATAATTACCATCCAATCACCCCTGGAAGTTGAGACAGGGATTGCTAGGGCACCGGTGCCAGGAAGCTGGAACCACAAACTTGAACTCAAGACACTGGTGTCAGGCAAGCAGAAGCACAGAAATGAAGGCCCCACGACTTCATCTATACCAGTAGAGAGCACAAGTTCGGTAATAGTCGAACAGAAAGGCACCAAATCATGTGCAGGATCAAGGTCAGATGAGCAGAGGTTGGCAACGTGCACGCAACAAGGTACAGAATCTTGATCAAGACTCTAGGCAAGGGTTATAACAAAGGTAGGCAGGAGATATAACAGACAGGGATAAACCAAGGCAGGTAGGTCAGATGAAATCCTGGTCAGTAATAGGATCAGATAGGATTCAGGATGAAGGATAACAGAGATACAACCTGAAAGACCATCCAGCAATGATCCCATGCAGGCTTTAGGTTTAAATAGTCCACTAGGCACCAGTATGCGTGATAGACGTGCCAGTGCTTGCATTGTGCAATGTTCTGTCCCCCTTTGTAATGTACAGCGCTGAGCGAACTATCGGCGCTTCATAAATACTGTATAATAATAATAATAAATAATGTGCACGCCATTGCATGCTTTGTTAGGCCCCATGCCTGAAAACATGTGCATGTGCATGAAAATGAGGACAGTCCCTCTGACAACTGACATGAGCTTCCAGACAGCTTTCCACTTCACAACCACGGGCATTGATATGAAGTATGAAGTTTCCCCACCTCCTTGTCTGTATAACATCCTCCACTCTTCTGGGAAGGCTTTCCATAAAATTTTGGAATGTGTTTGTGGAAATATTTGTCCATTTACATACTGATGTTGTATGAGGAGACCTGGCTCACATCAGCATTCCAATTCATCCTGAAGGTGTTGAACAGGGTTGAGGTCAGTGCCCTGTGCAGGCCACTTGAGTTCCTCATCATAAAATGTCTTTTTGGACCTGGATTTGTACACAGAGGCATAGACATGCTGAAGCAAAAATGGGCCTTCCCCAAACTGTTGTCACAAGGTTGGAAGGGAACAATCATCTAAATAGTTTTTGTAAGTCATAATGTTAATAGAACCCTTCACTGGAAACATTGGAACTCAAGTATGGAGCTTCCACTCATTTTTTACTTATCTCTGCTT